GAGAGCAAGATATGCCTCGTCATATTTTCAGCATTTAGCTTTTAAATGACCAGCACCTGCCTGGGTCTGTGCGACTTCAACTATGGCTTTTCTCTTCCCTTTCACAAACCGATCCATCTCCCATTCTAAGTTACGTCCTTTGGCTGTTTACGGTTTTATTTCTTTTCTTTTTCTGCTGATGGCCCGCGCTCGACTTGAAGCAGCACTGCTTAGACCGATGGGTGTGTGTCAAAGCACTGCGAGAGCTATAAGAGATGCTTTCTCTCGCCGTACTTTGATGTCATACACTCCAGTCCGTACTTTGAAGTCTAACACACCTCTTTATTCTTGCGTGTCACGTGACCGTGTAGTCGGAGCCTCTGCGATTGAAAAATCACGTTCTCTCATATCGCGATATTATCGCAAATGCAATTAATCATTCAGCCCTAATATGGATATGGCCTAGTATTTCAATGCAATTTCAGAAAGCGAGCAGGACATTTAATATCAGAAAGTCCTATCGATATGAAGACAGGTCAAGCTGTGCATAGAGACGCAGTCACAATATAAAGCATGAAAAGGTCACACGTGAGGAGAATTATGATAAGATTATGTTCCTATTATTGGGATCACACACTACCATTCAGAAGTTTGGGGTCAGTAGGATTTTTGTATGTTTTGGAAAGAAGTCTCTTTACGCTTACCAAGGCTACATTTATTTACTCAAAATACATTAGATATAGTAATATTGTGAAATATTATTACATTTTAAAATAATTGTTTTCTATTTTAATACATTTTAAAATAGAATTTATTCCGGTGATGCCAAATCTGAATTTTCAGCATCATTACTCTAGTCTTCAGTGTCACATGATCCTTCAGAAATCATTCATATATGCTGATTTGCTGCTCAAGAAACATTCTTATAACAGCTGTTTTACTTAATTTTTTTGTGGAAACCATGATACAATTATCTTAAGTCTTTGATGAATAGGAAGTTAAAAAGAACAGCATTTAATTGAAATGGAAATCTTTTGTAACATTATAAATGTCTTTATTATATTTGATAAATTTAATGCATCCTTGCTGAATAATTGAATGGTAGTGTACAAAGACAATGGCTCAACATGTGGAACAAAAAAGACTCAGATCAAGGTTATTTTTGTTAACGGAAACTTTAACAATTTTTTTATATATACACATTTGAAATAAATTTGACTATTTACAGTTTTAAAAAAAATTAAAAATTAAAACTATTACATTTTTTTTTTAAATTGCATGATTAAAACTAAACTGAAATTGTAAACCAAAGCACAAAAACAAAATAAAACTTGAAATTAATAAAATGTATAATAACCCTGTTAAACAATGTTTGTAAAACCTATACTGAACTGTCACATAGCTTTGAATTAACCAATGAAGGAAAGCCTATTTTTTTTATACTAGATGCTGTCAAAGTGGTTATTACATACGTACATACAGCCCAGTCATAATCGCAGGCCCGTAGAGACTACTGTATATCAGTGTGACTGTCACTCCACAGGCCACAGCCCCTGTCACCATCCCCTCCACCAGCTCCACTGGCTTCACCCCCTCCAGCAGCAGTTTCAGTATCTCCTGGCAGTCCCCACCAGTCACATTTACTGGCACCTCTGTGAGTACACCCACATAGACACACACACACGTTCCTGTGCCCATCACACACATGCACACACTGAACTACAGTGTGCCTTGCAATAGACTGTCCCTTTATACACACACACACACAGTAGAGTCCTGACCGATTGGGTTTCATAATGGTCTACTGATCTACCACAGTTTGGCCTCTCATTTGATGTCAGTGATGTCAGGTAACTCAAATGTGCAAACACACTTGTTAGACTGACTCGCATCTCACAGTTATCTCAACACGGATACATAACCGAATACACAAACGCTCCCAAAACAAGTTGAACAGACTGAATTTTATGCTCCGTGTCTCTATAAATTGTGCGTTGAGATTTTTATGACAGGAAATGGATGAATGATGTCTTTGGCCTTGTGTGAGGGATATTAACTCTCTCTCTCTCTGTCTGACTGCAGGCCTCTCCCACTCACAGCCGGACGCAGGGCTTTGGGGAGCAGCGCTCTCAGACCATTGCTGTGCTCTCCTCTCCCCCCAGAGCCGCAGGCTCACTCAGGTACAGTCTTAACTACACTTCCTTTCAGTCTTAAATTAAGACTCACATCAGAAGAAATGAGCATAGTAAAGCAAAGGCTGCGTAAAATGGTTAGACTTGATGAAAGCTGGAGGTGTGGCTTCTGTAAGGGACATTCTTACACATTTTATGAGTGTCCAGAATCTAGTCGCACATCATAAACTCTTTAAGTAGTGTGGAAAAGTACAATCAATAAGTTCTGCTCTCTGCTTACTTGGTATGATGCCAGAAGCATGTGAAAAGTCCATAAACCCAGTGGTGTTGTGTTAATAGTAGGGCCCTATGAAGTCAGTTTTATTTATTTTCCCCAAATTCTGTTTTAATTTGTCAGGATTCCGTTTTTTCCATTTTAATTTGACTAGACTCCGTTTTAATGGTTAAATTAAATGTTATTAATCAAAATGCATGCATAATTAATTGAAATTACAATATTTAAATGTACAATAATTAACAACAGTGTATTAAAAGTTTAACAAAAACGTTAAATGTTTTTATTTTTCATTTTTAAGGCCCTATGAAATGTTTTTCTCAAATTCAGTTTTATTTTTATTAGGTTTTCATTTAATTTTCTGGATTCCATTTGAATGTTTTCATTAAATTTTAATAATCAGAATTATAAAGAATGTGCAGGATTCATATTTAAATAGTATTTTGGTGTATTGCATTTTGATCTAAGTGTACTGACCTACTTTTGATTTTTTCCATCCAAAATTTGGCAAATTCCATGATATTCCGCATTAGAACAGACACAAAGTAGAACACACCGTAAATTCCATATTTTGACTGGATTCCACAATTCTGTCCGCGTTGTCCACATCGCGGAAATCATAGTGCCCTATAATAGGCTGTAGGATCATATTTAGATACTGAAAGGTACCATATTGCTTATCAGATATTAGATCGTTTTTAAACTTAATCGCAGTTGGTTGATATTGTATATTTAATTATGAATGCTCATTTATTTCTATTTTTACATTTAGAATTAGAGCTCCAGGCACAATATGATCCAGCAATAACTAATTATTGAATCCAATTTTAATTATGGAAGTACATATTGTTTTTATAAAATGTTTACTTTTGTATGTTGAAATTTTTTTTGTAAAACCATTTTTTGTGTTTTGTGTCATGCGCTGTGCAGTAGGAAGTCACGAGGCGAGGGAAAGAAGTGTCGTAAGGTGTACGGGATGGAAAACAGAGACATGTGGTGCACAGCCTGCCGCTGGAAGAAAGCCTGCCAGAGATTTGTTGACTGAAACAGCTGCGATGGCTTACACACAAAAACAGGGTGGGCTTCCTTTGCATGCATAGCATAATGAAATGCATCCCTTCTCTTTCTTACTGACCACAGCCCCACCCTGCTTCACCTTAAACCCACATGGACTTTGAGGGTCAAACCCTTATGCATTCCCTCCTAAACCAACGGACGCACTCCCAATCTTTGCAGATTTCCAACTCTCCCTTTGAGGCGAGTTGCTTTACACTGCAAAAAAAAAAAAAAAGACTTGATCGATTTTTTGTTTGTGTTCAGTATACTGCTTAAAAACATTCTTGTCCGTTCCTAAAGGACCAGTCAGGGCAAGACCAGCCTCTGTCCATGCTCTTTTTAAAAGAGAAGAAAGCTCTCTTTCAGACTGTGTAAGTGCTATAAAAACCCAACTGGAGAAGTGTTTCTTTTTCCATGGGCACATTTTCACATTTCTCCTGCCCATTTTACTAAAGGTTAAGGGTTGGACAGCTAGAAAACCCTGTCTTCTCAAGAATGTACCACCACAAGGGTTTGTTTTGGGATGATGACTGGACAGCTCCCCTGAATGGAAATTCCTCGATGCAAAAAAATAATACAAATAAATATGGGAAGAGACTTTCAGCTCCCCCTTTCAGTCATGCTGACACAGGCAATTGCACCTACGAAGGACGAATTTTATATCTGGTTTTATATTTGCGTTTACCAGTAGGACATTTCTTTCAGGGATGCGAGCAGTAAAAGTTAAACCAGCAGTTAGAATTAACATCAAAGAACTCAGTGCTTTCTGTCACAGGAATACCTTCTTGCTACCAAAAAGGGTTTTATTACGTGCCATTTTCTTTTCTTTTTGCTTTGCAACTGACTTCAACAGAATGAAGTACAAAGACTGCGATCATTAAAACCCAACGGCACAGACTCGCATCAAAGTTAGCGATCGCAAGAACCAGCCATTCAGGCAACCTCTCCTTCCCATCGGACTTCATCTGCAGGAATGAACTGCACTCATATTAGAGCCATATATGAACCGGGGTGGTTTCATGCCACAGTCTGTTGCCTAGAGAGGTTCAACCAACATGCCCAAGTAAAGAAAACTCTGCAAAGTGGTTAATTTTACCTCTGAAAGGTGAAGAGCTCTTTACCTCTCACCTTTTTCCTGACCTCACAGGTTCAAGTAAGAAGTAATAAAAATAGCAAATGCCACATCTACTCCAGCACAGGAGCTGGAAGCACTCAGATGTGGTGGTGTTATTCTTCTGTAGTTGGTACAGTATCGTGTAACGCAGCAGAACACTGGTCACAGGAGGATGGACGTGTTTTCACGATGGGCTTCTTTGCAAAGGATGACCAGAAAAATTGTCCCAAGACGTCAACACTTGGTTTGGCTCTTAAGGAATATGGCAGCTCGGTTGGCAATTGTAATCTGGAACTGTTTTGGTGGCTCTGACAGTCTAATATGATATCGTCTACGTAACATCAACACAAGCTAGTTAACTCATCATAAACCTGCAAACAATGCTTATTGTGATCAACTCATTGTCTGTATCCGTTTTGTTCATCACACTGTTTCCCTTTCACTTACTGTCGATGTGTATATAGATGAGGTATATAGTATTAAACCCCCAAACAAAATGTTTTATGCCCAGCATAACACTTGGTTTTATTGGTAGAATGGCTTTGTTCACACTGCACATAAATCAGATTTGGTTTCAAATCCGATTTCAATTATTAGATCCATTTGTTTGTACAATGTAGTCAATATCCTATGTCTCCACATGGATTATTTACGAATGCTATAACCATCATCCTGACAAGCGATTAAAAGCGACGCAAACATCTAAAAGTACAGTAAACTACTTGGAATCTGATTCCGATTCACACTAAGATGCATTAAATAAATATGATCTGATGACCTGGTATGGATGTGGTTTGGATCTGGTTCATAAACATCAGGTCTCCTGTGGTCTTCTGCAGTTCAGAATACAAAAACTTGATATGGCGAGAAATGGATTTTAATTTAATGTAATTTCACACCAAAAATGGATGTGGTTTGGATCTGGTTTGTTTTGTTTTATGTGGTCTTTCATCAATTCAGACTACAAAAAAACTCAATGGATTGACCAAAAAAATAAATAAAAATCGGAATTTTGCTGCCTGTGTGAATAAAGCCAGATACTACACGAACAGAAAAAAAACTAAAAGGCATTTTAAATGTGAATCTATAATTAAGATCCATGTAAAATGAATATGCATTTAAATAACATCTAAGAAAACTCTAAAACTGCCACTGGTTTAGTGTCTTAATAGAAAAAAAAAGAAACGACCAAGAGTTCATGACGGTTTCTGCATTTTGATCTATAATATTCCTTTTTCTCACTTTCTGTTGACACGATTCAACAGATCTTGCAAGGAAAAGGTCTCCAGGGCCTTACGTCTTTCCGTATGACTGGAGGCAACCTGATTGTGAAAGCACAGCTATGGTGAAGCCGCACACCAGCACCCATGGGCTCTAGCACTCCAATTTTACTCGAATGTAGGGCTGCACGATAAATCGCATGCGATATTTAATGCGCATCTTGTCAGAAAGCCGCTTCTGTAATCAGCGGTAAATGTCCATCACGTGCGTGCTGGACATTTACAACACAGAGCCGTTGTTCACGCAAAAAAAAAATCTCGCAAATATGAACGTGGTTTTGCGCAGCTCGTCAGTGAACAACGGCTCCGTGTAGTTAATGCTGCTCAATGTGAAAGCACGCACGTGATGGAGATTTACCGCTGATTACAGAACCGGCTTTACTGATAAGATGCGCGTTAAATATCGCATGCGATTTATCGTGCAGCCCTACTCGAATGCTTATTGAAACTTTTTGTGATCTCATGCCAGAGATGAAGTGGAGTTTCAATAATTAATAGTTGCATTTTTTGGCCCCTCCGCTGGTGTGAGGAACATCTCAGAGGCTGCTGCTTGTCCCTCCATTCCCTTCCTGGTGCTATTTTAGACCAAATGGTCTAAGAGATCTCACAGTAATTTACGTAAGAGGGCAAGCTGATGTCTACAGTTGTTTACATTCAGTATATACTTGGGGAAACTCTTTCCATCACGTTTCCTACAAATTAGACTTTTAGGAAGTGGGAATATATTTCTAAATGTTACCTAAAAATATGCTCTTGCCTCGGATAAGCTGTTATGTGAAGTTAAGATCACGGTGCATTTGGTTTCTAATGATGTTTCACACACCTGTCACCATGGTGCTTATATATTGGCTGCAGTTTTGTTAGCTAGGCCACGGCGCATTACTCGTGTTCATTAGGGGTGCTAGTTTTCTTGTGCACAGGCCTTTGTTTTGTTGTATAACATGTAATTTAATAGACACATGGTGCATATCAAGCTGCAACATGAGTATGGCGTGTTTTCAATATTTACTTTATCGCCAAATTCGTACACAGGTTAAACAGTTTATATTGTACCTACAATACTTATATAAGCTACCTGGTAAACCGTATTTAGGACTAGTGTTGCTCATGAATACCTACTTGGGTTCATGTCTCATAGTAATGCAGTACAAAGCTTTTAGTGTTCAGATCTTTTGTTGTATAACATGTAATTTAATAGACACATGGTGCATATCAAGCTACAACATGAGTATGGCGTGTTTTCAATATTTACTTTATCGCCAAATTCGTACACAGGTTAAACAGTTTATATTGTACCTACAATACTTATGTAAGCTACCTGGTAAACCGTATTTAGGACTAGTGTTGCTCATGAATACCTACTTGGGTTCATGTCTCATAGTAATGCAGTACAAAGCTTTTAGTGTTCAGATACAGCAGGATGCCGAGGTGTTAGCTGTCTTTAGCCTAAGTAGTCTTCTCTGGTTCTGTGTAAACATACCGTATAGGTAATTAACATCAATAACTAATAATGCTATTATATTACTCAATGTGTAACTGTTTTGATCGATAGTCTAAGCTACTTTAACACACTAGGGAACAGATTAAGATGCTTCCCGTTCTGAACGTTCACCAGGTCCAGAGTTTAACACACTAGTTTAGCCACTTTAAAAGATGCAGAAAAGTCTCACCATCTCTTTTCCCACGCATCGATGTAGTGCGATGTTAATCGAATACCCATATGTCTTTGGTTGGTATTGGTTGGTACAGTGTTGGATCTGTGCAGATGTTTAGAGTGGGTGTGCATATCCCATGTCAGACTGACCCAATCTGACTGTCTTTGTGTAGACTGAATCGTTTGACTGAACTCCAAACCGCCACTCAGCTATAGCCAGATGGCAGATGGGCCACTCAGTAGTCTACTTGCATAACTTGTGTGTTTGTGTCGAGCCACAAACAACAAGAACGAGTAGAGGCCGTTGACGGGACTGAGTCTGCAAAAAAAATAAAAAAATAAAAGAGGCTGTAGTCGAGTGGAACATTCCAGACTGAACATTTAAATCTTTTTGTTATGAAACCGCATCATCAGGATGGAACTTACTCTTTTAGAGGGCTTGTAATATCTGCTGTCATTGGACAGTATTGGCATTCTGCAATTCATACTACCGATAAATAGCTGCCGGGTTTCCATGGTATATGATCAGGTCATGTCTATCCTAGGTGGAGAGGGGCCCTGAGAGGTTTGGTTTTTGTTTTCCAGTCCTTCTGACCGTTTTCAGGAATGTATTTGTATGAGAATATATAGGAGTCTGACTGTGCCTTGGTGAGGTCTGAGATTGTGCATGGAGATGCACAGAAAAGCAAAGGAATGTTTCTGGTGTCGGCTTGTCTGAGTTCATCATTTTGTCTGGATTTAAACATGTGGGAGTGGAGGCCCTTTTTTTTACCGATTTGAGGACTAGCGCTTGCTTTTTTTTGTGCTCAGAGTATTTTGATGAATTTGAAGCTTGAGGGGTGGGGGGTGTCTTTTCCCAGTTGTGCTTTGTAAATGATTTTTAGCTACAATATCATAGTTGTTTTTGTCTCGTTGTTTTCATCTCCCATTTTGGAAACGCAGCAGGAAACGTTTAATCAACATTTCAAACAGGGGTTTGTTAAATACGGCTGCATTTTAAGAACTGGGGTGCGTTTTTCTTACAAGATGCTTAAACAGTGAGATCATCCATTATTGTCAGAGACTAAAACTCCAGCCTAACAGATAGGACCATGCACAGAAGATCTTCGCATTATGAATCGCAAGCTTGGTCGGATCTAGATACCGATTTATGTTTCCATCATGTCTCTCAAAGTAGGGCTGCATGATGTGGGGGAAAAAAAATTCTGTGCATGTTATTACAAAATGATGTTAGCTGCATATTGATTTAACAAATGCACATTATAAACGACTCAAGTTAGTAGATCCAGAGATGTTTATGTGGAGCATTGTTTACTGCAACACTGAAAACACCAGATTATGAGCTGCTCATGTGTAAATGAACACTGTGCTGCGTTTCTGTCTGAAACACGCTTTGCATATATTTATTAAATGAAATCGCAGCCTTTGTGATTTAATTGCATTAAGCCATTTCACGATTTGGGTTTTAATTTTTATTAATCATGCAGCCCCATCTCAAAAGATCACAGAGAATAAGCAGGACATAAATGTAACATGTCAAGCCTTATTGTGAAAAAAAAAACAAAAACAAAACAAAACCTTAATCCATCCAAAAATCCTAAACATGTCGCTTTACATCTTGAAAATAAGATGCCATAAGACGACATGGGAATGTAGGCTCAGTACTCTGAATGGATTATCTCACTGCTGACCTTTGTCAATCAAGAACCATGCTAACCTCAAGAACTCAAAGACTGTCGCACTGGATTTTTACACTTTTTCAAGTATTTGCTGATTAACTTTTTTTAATACTGCATGTGCATGCCGAAGAAAAACAAAAATATTATCTGAATTTATGAGTGTTGTTTGTGATGTTTTATCTGTAAAAACAGGCACAGGGCAGGCAGGCTGCTGTTACTATAGGAACGACATGCAAAATCCACTTCCTCTGAAAATGTACTCATTTTCATCATGTGATTTCAGTGTCTTTTCATAGTCGCCCATTTACATGCTATGTTCGGACACAAAGGGCACATTTTTAAAAAACCCCAAAAAATAAATAGTGCGGATAACGGGGCCTTAAATGTTGAGAACCACTACTATAAGCTGTTTTGTATGAAAAACATGAACATTGTTGAACATTTTTTAAAACATCTCTTATTGTGCTCCAAGTAAAAACAAAGTCATACAGATTTATGACAATGTGGGAGTGAGTAAATTACCATTTTTATTTTTGAGTGAACTATCACTTTAAGAGAGAGCGCTTGACTGATTGGCCGAAGCGCTGATAGAAACTGCCACATTCTGCAGTCATTCCACTGGGTCTGGGCTTTATGGGGGGGGCTGCCATAAAAACAAACAGATGCTGATGATAAAAGAACCAGCTTCTGACTATCGTAGCACAGGCGATAATAACAAACGCCTGACGGATACTAAATAAGCACTTAGAAATGATCTAAAAGAGAGGACCAGTTCATCTCAAGGACCAATATAGTCAGCCCAAACTGTGCTTTTTTATTTTTGGTTCACACATTTCTGTCCCATTGTCTGTTCTTTTGACATTCCTGATTTTACAAGTATTGTTTGATGTTAAGAACAGGCATCTGATGCCTTGTGCACATGATGGAAGTCTACGGTGTAAAGAGAAAACTCAGGATGTCTTCATCTTTCATGCCGCTGCTAGCAGAAAAAAAAAAATGCAGCAGTTGAGTCGTAAAGCCATAAAGGAAAAGAGGTGTGTTTGGGTGACCCATGCCATTTACCAAAATTATTTTGACCAGTAAGCAATGTCTAGACTATATTCAATAACTGTGTATTATTCATTATTGCACACTGACTATATGTAGATTGAAGCTGTTCATTGAAGGTACTTAATGTCTCTATGCCAATGTGAGGGATAAAGTCATTGATGGGGGACAGATTTTATTGTAGATGCAATAGCTATGAATAAATGAATGGTATATTTATATGCTTATAAAATAAAATAGTGTTATCCTGAAGAGAGACACCCTTGTATTTGGCAGGTTTAAAAAAAAAAAAGAAAAAAGACTTGATTGTACCATATTATGCATATAACTGTGACATTAGCACTAACGAACTGAGGATTAGGCCTACAGTTGAATTTGTTACCAAGGTTCAAATTCAAGAAACCCAAAGATTTTCTCAAATTAGACGTGAAATATCACAGCAAATACTCTGTATAAATGTCACTTAAAATTAACGTAAAATGACACTATAATAAAGTTAAGGTGCGTTCACATTTGCGAAACTTTGGTGAACTTTTGCGGGCAAAGAAGTTAATTTGTCAGTAGTGCCATTAACTCAGAGGTCACTTCCAAACCAAGCAGCTTTACATTGGTAAACACGTTAAATTTCTGTGTTAACAGTTCAACAAACTAGAATCTGATGTAAAATTCACTAGAGAAATTTTCACCTGACGCAACCCCCACACTAGATTCCTAAATGCTTGGATTGCTAGTGCCATGGCTGCATTTTCCCGCCAGAATTTCACCTACAAAGCTAAATGTGACTGCACATTTAAGGGCCATTCACACAGAACGGGTTATGGCGTTCAAAAACGCGAGAGAAGGCCCAAAGAAATGTAAAAGAACAGAGTTTTGAAACACTGCGTAATGGTCAAGGGCCTCAGTGTAGCAAATTTTCACACTGGAAAACAAATTAAAAGTAGCGCACAGAACGATCTAAAATGGCGTTATTTTCTATTCCTCAGCTCTCCTTCCCGCGCGTTTTTAAAGGCAAAACCGCGTTTGGTGTGAACTGCCCCTTATTAAAACGCTAAAGTGTTGTTTATCCGCGTCTATAGGCGATGTGGCCTGACACACACTGACCTGTACTTGAGGCGATGAGATAAATGAGCGGCCTTTCTCGACATTAATTACATTCATCCCGGGTTTAACACAGACGCCGCGTGCCAGCTCAAGCCGAGTGCGTCGCAGTGACGCTCGCCGGTCGTTCTCAGGCTCACGCGCTAATCCCAGCGGGGCGTTGACCTCACGGGCGTCCTCGAGCGTTTCATCTCTGTAAACCCATCACAATGCAGTGCAGAAAGATGCAAGGCGCAGGTTTCAGAGGTTCAGAGGGTTTTCTTAATCACGACAATTGCTGCTGAAGGCTGTTAGCCGGCAACAATTAACTCTAATGGAATGAAAACAAATGTAGCCCAATTGTTTAACGGTGTCAAGTATCAGCAGAAAGGAGGGCCTTAATTAGAGGATATTTTAAAGCTTCGTGCCACTGTATTTAGTCATTGTGAGTGTCTAGTCAGTGTTCACTCGGATACAATTATGCAATTTTATGCTTTAGTGCACAGGTTTATGCGGCAACACCTGACAAATATAACTCATAATAGACGGAAATCAATTATTTTTACACCGCTCGCATTGACGCGCACTAGTCTGGATAGAGGAAGCTGATGATATTTCATTATCTGGACTTGATATAAAATATCGCAATACATTAACAGAAAGCACTTGCTTTATGTACAATGTCTTATACTGTTTATCTAATTGCACCGTTTTGTTTCTCCTCGTTTCCCCAAAGTCCAATAGATTTGAATCTCCTTCCTCCTGAGGGAGAAAACACTTGGTGACTGTTATTATTATCTATCTCACTTGCTGGCTGTACTCGTTTTTACTCTGAGCTGTGTGTAAATAGAAACTGCCATTGTAATTGTGCTACGGTGACAATGTTGGTGCCGCTGTTGTTGTTTTCTTTGGTGTAAAGACCTTTCCAAGGTGCCTGTGTTCATGTGAGCTCCTGGTTTATGGTCATGGAAAAATAAAGACGATTTTTTTCGGCAGCTGTTTACTATACAGTGTCTGCTGGTGTGTATTTATTAATCTAACTATAACATGGCGTAATGTGCTTATTTCAGAAACTGGGCTTGATTATAATAGGTTGCAGACTGAATTGTTAAGAGCTAATTAGCAGCCTTGGGTCATGCTGTGTTTAGTAACACAGAAAAGCACACAAGCTTTCAAGTTTTTTTGAGTGTTTGCAGACCCTATGGTAGACTTTTTTCTCTCTAAGTCAAAGACTAATTAAAATAACCTTTAGGATATTATTTATGAATATAACTGTTTGGACATACCGTATGGGAAACGGTTTGCGCGAAACAATCATAGATCTCTATAATTTGTTCATACATTTATTAAAAATGTAACCCCCACATACTGTAAAAATGCTAAATTTAGCACGTTAATACTACATGGACACGTCCTGTGTGAACATAATTAAATGCATTGCTGAGGACTGTGGGACAGAAATTGGCTTGACAATAACAAACATACTGTTTCTAGAGCCACTTTTTACATTCAATATATGACAACAGTGGTATATCTTCATTTTGTTCATTTAGGGGGGTTTCTCAGCTAGTAATTATATATACGACTCATTTCCATATCGTACATTATAATTTAATAACAAATATTGACAGCCCTATAAAATTTATTTATTACATTAAACCAATTTTTTCCCCAACATTAAACAATTATGTTAACGTATAAAAGTCACCTTGAGAAAGTAAACATTTGGGTGCCATCTAGTGTTCTGTAGCGGTTATACAGCTGTATTGACTTCCTGCAACATTTCAAAGAATGTCTGCTGGACAAAGACAGGATGTAATGTGCTTTATTAGGCATCGGACATACAAATGAACAAATGTTTGTATTTCTTGCTCAAAGTAGTTTTGGTCTTTCAGGATGCTAATTATAAATGAACATAACAGCAGATTCAACAACTACGCTAGTAACCCAGGACAAAAGCCCACTAGAGACATTCAGTATAAAGCAACATTCATATTCAAAAGATGATGTGAGGAAAGAAGAAAGAAACAACACCAGAGCTACAGTATGACTGGAGTGAGGCAGAAGGGGGATAAATTAAAACCTTTTTTGGTCCCACTGGAGATTTCCACCCTCCATGTAGTATGTCACAACACAAAACACATAAAACTGTTTTAAACAGTTAACTTCCTAACAATATTCCATATTTTCCATATTAGTATTATTATTTTTTAGATGTCAACACTAGATCTAGAGCAACTGATCAGACATGTTGAACTTAAACCTCTGTAAACGTCTTTATACTGATTTTTTTTTGCAGCAGCAAGCATAAAACATTTGCTTATCTCTGTATATCAAAGCAAAACACAAAAAAGGAAAAGCACACTCAAATTATGAAGCAATAATGAAATATTACCATATGAGAACACATCTGCCAGTTAAGTACCATCGCCCCTGCGCTCCAAAGCCTTTAGCAACCTCTACCCTATCATAAATGTTATTAGATTTTATCTACACTCTGCTAACAATATCAATACAAATATTATTTTTTAATTTTGCAGTCTTGAAGATGCCACAACAGCAGGTACTACAGTGTAAGCGGCTCCATGAACTACACAAATACTAGAATTAGTGCTTGTAAATATCACTGCGTTGCACTGGATCTAAGGCTAACGGTTTAACATTAACACTGCTTTTCAGCTGTGTTAGAGAGTTTAAAACAACAGGGAAGAAGTGTCATATAGTCTAGGAGACTATGACATCTGTCCCTCTCATAGTTTGTCCTGTTTTCTGAGTAAAAAGAAAAAGAAATGCAGCAGTGGTCAAATTACGAAGCCATCAGAAACACCTTTAAAGTGAGATTAAACCTCCTCAGTTTTAGTAACAGAAGGCACTGGGATCTCAGTGGTGTGACTATACTAACACTACAAAATAAAGAGAAATTAAGTCGCAAAGCACGTACGCTCAAGGCTGCTCATTTTATGACACAAACTCTAAAGCTAAATCAAGAATCCAAAATATAGAAAAAGAGAAATAGTGTAACATCACTACTGTTTGATCATATTTGATATTAATGCTAATAATACACTCAATATACTTTCTATGCAAAAATCTTTTCGTTTAACGTATACACTTAGAGACAGAACTCATGTTCTGAGTTTTTGGCATTTGTTTTAAAAATGGAAAAAGGAACTATATACACAGAGAATTTTGGTTAATTTGGCTGGCAATTTTAAGTAGCGGGATGTGTTACAGAGAATGTACACAAACAAAAAGTCAAATTCAATTACATATTTAAACTATATATAAAGACTTTAGGATATTTTCTTTAAACGTGTTAAAAGAAACATTTAGGGACTTCTAAAGGACAGCCTGAGCCTCTCGTGTAGGCAAACCTGAAGTTAGGGGTCAGAGGTCAAAGCTGCAGTTGAATGAGTAATATCATGCTCTGACAGTGCATGAGTGAACATGCATCTCACATTCTGACACATCTGTTCCAGTGTAGGACTACCACGTCCCGTCTGGAGATGACCCAGACTACAGTGGAAATATATGGCCACAGAACAAAGCTCACTGTGACTATGTAGAAGTACTGCTGTGAAGTGGAGAAAGAGGGGAGCGTTTTGAGGGAGGATCCTCAGTGCGTTTTTTGATCTGGTGGACAAGTTCCCTCTGGGTGTTCAGCCACTGGCTCTCCATCAGGTGTGGATTCTGAAACCTCTTCAGTATCGCCTGTCGATGGCGTCGGGCTCATCTTGGTCTGTTAAGTCAGAAACAAGGTTGGAGTTTTTAAATTATAAATGAACATAACAGCAGATTCAACAACTACGCTAGTAACCCAGGACAAAAGCCCACTAGAGACATTCAGTATAAAGCAACATTCATATTCAAAAGATGATGTGAGGAAAGAAGAAAGAAACAACACCAGAGCTACAGTATGACTGGAGTGAGGCAGAAGGGGGATAAATTAAAACCTTTTTTGGTCCCACTGGAGATTTCCACCCTCCATGTAGTATGTCACAACACAAAACACATAAAACTGTTTTAAACAGTTAACTTCCTAACAATATTCCATATTTTCCATATTAGTATTATTATTTTTTAGATGTCAACACTAGATCTAGAGCAACTGATCAGACATGTTGAACTTAAACCTCTGTAAACGTCTTTATACTGATTTTTTTTTGCAGCAGCAAGCATAAAACATTTGCTTATCTCTGTATATCAAAGCAAAACACAAAAAAGGAAAAGCACACTCAAATTATGAAGCAATAATGAAATATTACCATATGAGAACACATCTGCCAGTTAAGTACCATCGCCCCTGCGCTCCAAAGCCTTTAGCAACCTCTACCCTATCATAAATGTTATTAGATTTTATCTACACTCTGCTAACAATATCAATACAAATATTATTTTTTAATTTTGCAGTCTTGAAGATGCCACAACAGCAGGTACTACAGTGTAAGCGGCTCCATGAACTACACAAATACTAGAATTAGTGCTTGTAAATATCACTGCGTTGCACTGGATCTAAGGCTAACGGTTTAACATTAACACTGCTTTTCAGCTGTGTTAGAGAGTTTAAAACAACAGGGAAGAAGTGTCATATAGTCTAGGAGACTATGACATCTGTCCCTCTCATAGTTTGTCCTGTTTTCTGAGTAAAAAGAAAAAGAAATGCAGCAGTGGTCAAATTACGAAGCCATCAGAAACACCTTTAAAGTGAGATTAAACCTCCTCAGTTTTAGCAACAGAAGGCACTGGGATCTCAGTGGTGTGACTATACTAACACTACAAAATAAAGAGAAATTAAGTCGCAAAGCACGTACGCTCAAGGCTGCTCATTTTATGACACAAACTCTAAAGCTAAATCAAGAATCCAAAATATAGAAAAAGAGAAATAGTGTAACATCACTACTGTTTGATCATATTTGATATTAATGCTAATAATACACTCAATATACTTTCTATGCAAAAATCTTTTCGTTTAACGTATACACTTAGAGACAGAACTCATGTTCTGAGTTTTTGGCATTTGTTTTAAAAATGGAAAAAGGAATTATATACACAGAGAATTTTGGTTAATTTGGCTGGCAATTTTAAGTAGCGGGATGTGTTACAGAGAATGTACACAAACAAAAAGTCAAATTCAATTACATATTTAAACTATATATAAAGACTTTAGGATATTTTCTTTAAACGTGTTAAAAGAAACATTTAGGGACTTCTAAAGGACAGCCTGAGCCTCTCGTGTAGGCAAACCTGAAGTTAGGGGTCAGAGGTCAAAGCTGCAGTTGAATGAGTAATATCATGCTCTGACAGTGCATGAGTGAACATGCATCTCACATTCTGACACATCTGTTCCAGTGTAGGACTACCACGTCCCGTCTGGAGATGACCCAGACTACAGTGGAAATATATGGCCACAGAACAAAGCTCACTGTGACTATGTAGAAGTACTGCTGTGAAGTGGAGAAAGAGGGGAGCGTTTTGAGGGAGGATCCTCAGTGCGTTTTTTGATCTGGTGGACAAGTTCCCTCTGGGTGTTCAGCCACTGGCTCTCCATCAGGTGTGGATTCTGAAACCTCTTCAGTATCGCCTGTCGATGGCGTCGGGCTCATCTTGGTCTGTTAAGTCAGAAACAAGGTTGGAGTTTTTATTTACCTCACAAGCAGTGTTGATATAATCCGTGTTGCTTTACCTTTAAGGTTTCCACTTTCTCCTCAAATGACTTGAAAGTGGGTGTGTTTCTGCAAGAGACATGGTAAAGATGTAAAACAGACTGAATCTTCACACTTCACAATTGATATGGTGCAAAAAAGGGTGTCGGTATATCAAATGATTTGCTAATTCATCTGCTATAGCTGTGCGCCAAAACCTAGCGAGCTAGCAAATGTTGATTGTAAATATATTTTAATCATTACTGAAGAGAGAAATGTGTCAAATGAATGTTTTATTTTCTTTGAAATGCTTATTTGAATAGAGTTAGCTTAGCAACATGCTAAAGACAAGACTGTTACAATGAACTGTAGACATTGATGAATCTCTTATTGAATAAATCGACAATAAAGGGATAGTTCACGCAAAAATTTAAATTCTGTCATGAATTACTCGCCCGCAGGAAGTTTCAAACCTGTAAGATGCTCGTTCATCTTCAGAACACAAATTGAGATATTTTTGATGAGCTTACTGACCCTCCATAGACAGCAACACAACTGACACATTCAAGGCCCAGAAAGGTAGTAAAGACATCATTAAAGTAGTCCATGTGACCTCAGTGGTTCAACCGTAATTTTATGAAGCCACAAGAATACATTTTGTGTTTTCTTTGCACACAAAAGTATTGTCATAGCTTCATAAGGTTATGGTTGAACTACTGACTATTTTAACAATGTCCTTACTACCTTTCTCGGGCCTTGAATGTGTCAGTTGTGTTGCTGTCTATGCAGAGAGCTCTCGGATTTAATCAAAATATCTTCATTTGTGTTCTGAAGATGAACAAAGGTCTAACAGGTTTGGAACGACATGAGGGTGAGTAATTAATGACAGAATTTTTGGATGAACTATACCTTTAAATACTGTGAAACGAGAGAAAGAAAACTAGCATCAGTCTTTATACAAAAATATTTGCCCACAGAATGCCACAACTGACCAGTCAAAATCAAGTATTCCTGTAAAATATAGAGGCTTATGTGGGTTTATCAGAACTAATACTTACCTCATCACCGGCATGCTAGCCGAATGCTGTATGGAGCGTATACTATCCGTCAGCAGTAAAGAAGAGCAGACAGGAGTTAGCCAAAGCCGTGAGTATCAGACGCATTAGAAGAGGGGAAATAAAGCCATGCACCTACACACATCTATGAGTTCATAATCAGCATGAAAAAACACCTCAGCCCTTCATGCTGTGTGAAACTGAGTTAGAGTATAAGGCTTTAATCCATCAGGGGTTTAAGACTTTATTACCGCTATCACTGACACGGATTCACACCACAGCTGGGATGCCCAGTTTGGATGAATAGGGTGTGTGAGAGAATTAGCAGGGAATAAACAGGGTTTAAGCACGTCTGCATCACTGTCAGAGGGAAAGATATGTTCAGCAGAGCGACAGCCAGAAGATCGATAGATTTGTGTGGGACACAAGCAGGTATACTATGAAGAAAGTTGAGAAATAATGAGAGATGATGCTGCTTTTTAGACAGAAAGCAGGAGGGAAATCAGAAAACCTAGCATAAGACTGATGGGAAATTAACTTTGGGAATGGGAATTGACTCCACTGACTTTTATTATATGGACAAAAAATCAGAAGTAAAACAGGCAAACAATTTTTTGGAACATTATGACAATTTCTTTTTTTTTTTTTAGGTGAGCCATTTAAAAAAAAAAAAAAAAAAAAAAAAAAACTCTGAATTGCAAATACCCATTCAACATGTACATTCACGCACAAAGGCAGAGGTTTTGGAAAAGGTATGCATGCATTGAAACAGTGGAACAAATGGGAGAATAGCACTACCTCCAAGTACATGCCACACTATAAAACCATTCATCACACTACTGAGAGGTGTAGCAGCCAAAATAACCAGCTTTTGTTTGAAGCCACTGTAAACAGTCTTACCCAAAAGAATTGGAAAATGACTGTAATCTGTAAATGGCAGAGGTGTCATTAGTGAAAACAGTTAACAATGTTGCCAGCGTTGAAGCAAGAGTGTCGTAAGATGGTGAAATTGAGCAAATGTCAGTTCCTTAGACTTCAGAGTATGATGTGGGTGTCTGTGGTTAATGGTTTTATTCTATCTCAATTTTGGTAATTCCATTGTGCGTGGGAGTACAATTCAGTCCTTTGCCATTTTGTCCAGTAGTGTTATGCTAAAGGCACATGTATGTGTTAAGTGGTGATCACACATGGCTACATTCACACAGTCGGTGTTTGGGATTGACGAATGTATTTGACTCTCAAAATGTCCTACAGACTGAATATCGTATATCAGCGTCAAATAATCAACATAGTGATAGAATAATGGCAAATATTAAAATGTTCAGGTGTGTCTTTAAAGTCAACATGTATTCACCCTCATTGTTGTTTCAAACCAGTAAGATCTTCATCTTTGGAACACAAATGAAGATATTTTTAATAAAACTTCAGACATTTCTGTCCCTTAATTTAAGGTGCATTCTACCAAAACTTTGACGCTTCAAAAAAGTTCATAGAGATTCAAGTATTCCATATCAATCAAGTGGCTTTATCAAATGCTTCTCTGACAAGTCAAGCAAGCACATTTGAGCTTCAAGGTTTAATGGTGTCTTCGATTGTATCTTCTGAAAACTTGGATTAAACAGTTTGATTCATATGGATTACATTTATAATATCTTTATGAACTTTTTAAAGCATAAAAGTCTAGGTGGAATGGACTTTCAATGGAGGGACAGAAATCCCTCAGGATTCATTAAAATATCTTCAATTGTGAATCAAAGTCTTAGTGGTTTGGAATCACATGAGAGCGAGTAAATGATGACAGAAGTTTCATTTTTTGGTAAACTATCCCTTTAAGTGTTTAGTTTTGTAGTCTAACCACTTTGGAATTTTGGAAATTCCTGCAACTCATCCTTTCAGATGAAAATCTCCACCCAACATTTATCTGGAGTTTTGGCTCATTCTCTGACCACATAGCTTCCAAATTTTGCTATGAAAATGCAGTTGTGACTCTTCCGAACTGTCACTTTGGTTATTAAATGCAATCTTCACTCATTTTCATAGTCACTCCGTATAACAAAGCCCTATTTTGAACTCCAAAAAAAGTCACAAATGTATTCGCTAAATGAAATTACATTTAGCAGACGCTTTTATCCAAAGCGACTTACAAATGAGGACAATGGAAGCAATCAAAATCAACAAAAGAGCAATATATGCAAATGCTAGAACAAGACTCAGTTAGCTTAACGCAGTACACTTAGCAAGTTTTTTTTTAATTATATAATAAATAAAAAGAAAACAGATAGATTAGAAAAATAATAGAGCAAGTTAGTGTTAGATGCCTTTTTTGCTTTTTGTTAATTGTATAATAAATAAAAAGAAAACAAATAGATAGAATACAAAAAGAATAGATAAGCTATTGTGTTTAGTCTAGTAAGTCTAAAAGGGACACACATTTTTTTTTTAAAGAATAGAATTAGAATAGAGAGTGCTAGAGTTAGAGAGTCAAATAAAGATGGAAGAGATGTGTTTTTAGCTGATTCTTGAAGATGGCTAAGGAGCTGCTCGGATTGAGTTGGGCAGGTCATTCCACCAGGAGGGAACATTTCATTTAAAAGTCTGTGAAAGTGATTTTGTGCTTCTTTGGGATGGCACAATAAAGTGACGTTCACTTGCAGAACGCAAGCTTCTAGAGGGCACATAACTCTGAAGTAATGAATTTAGGTAAAGGGGTACAGAGCTACTGGTTGTTTTGCTGGCAAACATTAATGCCTTGAATTTTTTATGCGAGCAGCTACTGGTAGCCAGTGCAAATTGATAAACAGAGGTGTGACGTGCATTCTTTTTGGAAATTTACAATCATTTTAAATCTGAAATCTGGTTTACCTGATTACAAATGTTATGAGCAATAATTACAGCTGCTGCTTGAGTTGACTGTGATGTTAAATTGTGTTGTTTTCATGTATTGTGTCTTATTTTGTGTCATTACCTCTGCTTGGTAAAGCCACTCTGGTAAAATAGATTTTAAGTCTCAAGAGTTTTTATATTCCTGGTAAAATAAAGGTTGAATAAATCTGCCTCTGTCTGAATGTAACCAGAGTGGTTTGGAACAGACAGTATTAATAGGTATTAGTGAGTATTCATTCATTCATTCATGTGTTACTAGGTCAAAAAGGTACAAAGGATAGTTTGATCAAAGGATGATAATTTGGACAAGTGTTCAATTTCAAATCTCACCTCACGTCCTCTAGCTTTCTGCTAATGGCTGTGCCCACGCTGGAGAACGCTGTCGTCGCCTTCTGACCCACTTGGGACAGGGTCTCTGAGGTCTTCTTATACCTGTACAGCACAGATGGGGGACAGATGTGTACAGAACACATACAACATAACTTGAAATCACAAGATCATGTAATTCTAACAGCTGGAGTGAGCTAGTAAAATCAAGCATGTTCACAACTGTGTGTCTTTAATGCAATTCAGCCAAATGTCAAGTGTGAACTGCACAGCAGAAGCATTGACAGATGGAGCCGCTTCTCCGCAGCAGTATGAGAGGCGGCAGGCGGCACGCAGATGCCTGAGGTGAGTGAGGGCACGTACGCAGTGGAGGTGGTGACTTCATGCCAGCCTTTGCTCAGGTTCTGTTTGAACTCGTTGAGTGGAGTGATGCCCAATTTCCGCTTGATCTCCGCCACCTGCTTCTCTTTGGCCGCCAGCACCTGAGAAAGAGTCTGGATCTCATCTTCCACCTGTAGGGAAACAGGATAGAAGAATTCACCTGACATGGAAAATATGGGTAAGTGTGGTGACACTCGTTCAAAAAATAATAAAATGATTCACTTATGGGTTTATCCATAAGGTCCAGTTAGAAAATACAGCATATGTTGAAATAGTGAAGAAAGTAAGCACTGCAGACTTCATGAATAAATGTATCATAAATGACTTCAGCCTTGAGAATAAACCACGCTTGCTCCTTAGGCAATCTCATCCACTAAATGTGGTATTTTTGGCTGGAATCTGAAATATAACAGAATTGAAGGATGTTGACCTTTGCTAGTTCACTGTGGAGTTCTGCTTGTTCTTCCTCAGTTAGTGAACTGGGCACCGCATTCACTGCATCTTCGCCTACTTCTGGGAAGATGTCTGGACTCTTGGGCCCTACAAAAACAAACATGCGCTATAAAACATTTTAAGGTGATGTAGGATGCTGATAAAAGACCTACTCTAAGAAAAGGTTGCATGAGAAAAGTTACTAATTATGAGAGATAAAATCACACTGAGAGATATAAAATTACAATTAGAAGAAAAAAGTCACAATTACCAGAAATAACAATCACAGTGTGCCATATAATGTTAGAACATCAAGTAAAAAGATGTATAAAAGTCATAATTCCCTTCCCTTTTAGTTCTGGAAACAAATTCCATTGATCTTTTGTGATAGAAATTTTTAGCATCAGGTTAGTTCATATTAAGTTGAACTGTCATTCTGAATTTAAGTGCTGATAGCTCAGTGGTGAGAAAGACTCTGATTCTGATTTAGAGATCATGTAGAGTCAGGCATCAGGCCAGGAGGAAGAAGGAGAAAAACAAAAGATGATGAGGAGGTCAGAGAGAAGTCATGTGTCAAAGAGCTTTAAAACTTATAAGGTGCTTGTTACATGATGAAGTCTGGAAGATGTACTTTGATGCCTCCACTGACAGACTATACTATGGCTGGAGAACGCTGTCGTCGCCTTCTGACCCACTTGGGACAGGGTCTCTGAGGTCTTCTTATACCTGTCAAGCACAGATGGGGGACAGATGTGTACAGAAAATGTATACAACATAACCGTAAAACACAAGATCATGTAATTCTAACAGCTGGAGTGAGCTAGTAAAATCAAGCACGTTCACAACTGCACGTCTTTAATGCAATTCAGCCAAATGGCAAGTGTGAATTGCACAGCAGAAACATTGACAGATGGAGCCGCTCCTCCGCAGCACTACAAGAGGTGACGGGCGGCACGCAGATGCCTGAGGCGAGTAAGGGCACGTACGCAGTGGAGGTGGTGACTTCATTCCAGCCTTTGCTCAGGTTCTGTTTGAACTCGTTGAGTGGATTGATGCCCAATTTCCGCTTGATGTCTGCCACCTGCTTCTCCTTAGCCGCCAGCACCTGAGAAAGAGTCTGGATCTCATCTTCTACCTGTAGGGAAACAGGATAGAAGAATTCACCTGACATGTAAAATATGGTTAAGTGTGGTGACACTCATTTAACAACAAAAAAATCCAGTGCACTGATGGGTTTATCCATAAGCTCCAGTTAGACTTCAGCCAAATGGCAAGTGTGAATTGCACAGCAGAAACATTGACAGATGGAGCCGCTCCTCCGCAGCACTACAAGAGGTGATGGGCGGCACGCAGATGCCTGAGGCGAGTAAGGGCACGTACGCAGTGGAGGTGGTGACTTCATTCCAGCCTTTGCTCAGGTTCTGTTTGAACTCGTTGAGTGGATTGATGCCCAATTTCCGCTTGATGTCTACCACCTGCTTCTCCTTAGCCGCCAGCACCTGAGAAAGAGTCTGGATCTCATCTTCTACCTGTAGGGAAACAGGATAGAAGAATTCACCTGACATGTAAAATATGGTTAAGTGTGGCGACATTCATTTAACAACAAAAAAATCCAGTGCACTGATGGGTTTATCCATAAGCTCCAGTTAGAAGATACAGCATATGTTGAAATAGTAAAGAAAAAGGCACTGCAAAATGAGTTCCGCCTTGAGAATAAACCACATTTGCTCCTGAGACAATCTCATCCATTGAATGAAGCATTTGTGGCTGGAATCTGAAATATAACTAGACTGAAATATGCAGACCTTTGCTAGTTCACTGTGAAGCTCTGCTTGCTCTTCCTCAGTTAGGGCTGTGCAGGGCGAACAGGGCACTGCATTCACTGCATCTTCGCCTACTTCTGGGATGAAGTCTGGACTCTTGGGCCCTACAAAACAAAACGAAAAAACACAAACATGCGCTGTAAAATATTTTAAGGTGATGTAATAAAATAGCTAGTCTAAGAAAAGGTTGCAGGTTTGAACCACGTGTGCCACACGCGTCCTGAAAGGTGAACCAAAAACATTTTGATTGTCCCCTGGTGGCTGGCTGCAGTACAGGTCATATTACCCACCCTCTCCATGTAAACAAATTGGACGGGTCTCAAACTAATAGCATGGTGACTTTAGTATGTGACTGCAAATTAAATTACAATTAGGAGAAATCAAGTAACACTGTAAGATTTAAAAGTACAATTACAAGAAAAAAAGTTGCAATTACCAGAAAGTGACAAAGTGAGATACAAATGAACAATTATAATAAACAAAGTTATACAAGTTTACAAAAAATAAAATAACACTATATCAAATTACAATTCCAAGAAACAAAGTCACAGTCTGAGATGTAAGCATACAATTATGAGTAAAAGTCACAAATTATGAGAAATAAAATCACACGGAGAGATATAAAATTACAATTAAAAGACAAAAGTTTTATTTACCAGAAATGAAAATGACCAGAAATAAAAATCACATTATGACATATAAAGTTAGAATAACAAGTAAAAAGTTGTATAAACGTCACAATTTCCCTTTCATTTTTTTATTCTGATACAGAAATGTGCTTTCTTCTAGTGACACCTTTTAGAAGTTCTGGAAACAAATTCCATTGATCTTTTGTGATATAAATTTTAGCGTCAAGTTCATATTAAGTTGAACTGTTATTGTGAATGTAAGTGCTATTTGCTCAGTGGTGAGAAAGACTCTGATTTAGAGATCATGTAGAGTCAGACGTCAGGACAGGGGGCAAAAGGAGAAACATGAAGGAAGAGGAGGAGGCCAGAAAGAAGTCATGTGTCAAAGAGCTTTAAAACTTTATAAGGTGATTGCTACATGATGGACATCCACCCAAGGGCTCACACAAGTCTAGAAGATGTACTTTGATGCCTCCACTGACAGACCATACTATGGAAATACAACATAAATAATAAAACTCCTGGATGTCACCATTCAGTGGGCTGATAACTAGAAGGAAAGGCCAAAAATTCAGCACTGTCAATCAAACTGACAACAGTATGACAACCCTGAATGAACGGCTCTGCACCGCACTGTATATTATACTGTAATGCTATCAGCTGATGCGCTTGTTCTTATTTAGTACAATCAGTGTTTCAGTGCATCCCATGTTTATTGCATTAACAGGATAACCTGATAAGACTATTCACTTTGTTAAACACAGATTCCAGAGCTTTGACAAAGCCAGCCTTTTCTGTGGTAGCTAGGAAAAAGAACTCCTGCTCATGTCAATTTTATGGACCTAATTTTATGCCTACTTTCAGTAGAGGTCAAATATGAGGTTCAGGTCTTAGCTTGCAGCTGGGAGTTTTCAAACATGTTTCAGGAAGAAACATAAAAGTTGCATCACATGAGGAGGGTGTGCAACTCATTTGTAAGCAGCTTGTTTGGTATTTCTGGAAAAACTGGCAGGTTTGCCTCCCACTTTAACTTACCACAAAGGTAATTAGGAACAGAAGAGAGGGTCATTTATAGCTTGTTTGACAACAAATTCCTAACAAAATATTTTGTGTGTTTGGCATCTCTTGACAAGACCTTTGCCTCTTAAAATGAGTAGGATAGCATACTTAACCATATATTGTTACACTACATCTAATACAATGATAAATGTGCACTGAACACATTACATTAACCGATTACTTTCTCATTTTTACTGAGTTTCCATCTCTAATATGAACAAGAGGAGTTTAGTACAGATGATACAAGTTCTGCTTTGGTAAAGGGGTGAATGTTCTTAAATTAGACGCAGTTTGAATAAAATTAAAGTGATTTCCCACCTTCTAGGTTCTCTTTCACTATGTCTAGTTTGATGCAACATTTTCTGCCCATCAAAACTGACTGTGACAGTACTACAGGTTACATATGAGGGGACACTGACACAAGTGTGTCACGTACATTCTTAATGGGAAATTAATACTGACAGCGTGTCACCCAAGTTCAATGGACCATTTGAAACAGTTTCGTGGTTAACAGGAAGATCCATATGACATCACTTATATGGAAATTATGACTACAACCAGTGCCTGAAGTAGTGAGAAGCAATGCATAAAATAGTTTAATGTAAAAGCATGCTTCATCCGTAGTTATTTAACAATATAAACAAACCGGTTCAATGCACAGCACACATTTTTCTACACTGTGTGGGTTGAAAAAAAATGTGTCTCATTCCTCTAATATATTTATTTGTAAAAACCCAGAGGCAGTGCACACTACCTATCATACACACACCTTTTAATGCAAGATCATCCTTTCTTTTATATTTTGGAATCTGTTTTTCAATGTTAGAAATAACTTTTATAAAGTCATCTGACAGACTGGCGTAGAAACCTTTTTTTTTTGGTTTTCAAATTAATACCAGTGTTAAAAACAGTACATTAATACTGTAATTATATAAAGATACTTAATAATAGTAATAATAATATGATGCTTAAGCCACATTTAAAATTAGTTAATTTAATTGCTTTGGATAACAAAATATTAAAACAAATGGCATATGTAAAGATGATACTTCTTTCTCTCTCCTCACTTTCCGAGTCATTCTTAATGCATGTATGAAGACTTGAAGTGGTGGGAAAAACTAGATCACCAAGAAAAAAAATCACTGGAGTGTGGACATTAAAAAGAAATGCATTAAATTCTTTCCAACAGCTAAGATGTGATGAAAGCGCTTAAGATTTGTTCAGACATCCCTGATTTCACCACCAGTTTCAACATCCACATCTGTCCTCTAGCTGAATCGATTTCTCCACACATGGATTTCCAGATACACAATAACAAGATTACGAATGACTGCCATCTCAGGAATTACCATATAAAAGAAAAATGTCCAACCCTGATGTGCCATGATGGCTCACAGGATTGATCAATGACCTCTCTCTGTCTGTATAATGATATTGAGGGCCCTGTGTAAACACACTTATAATTTGTTAACCAAGCTCACTGCTCTTCCATTTAGTGATTAACATCTTAAGTGCATTATCGTAACACTGTTGGCCATGTAATAATTTAAAGATACAGTTTTACTGTACAGAATAGTTAAGCGTTTCAGTACCTGCCAGTTTATACAAATCCTGTTGTCCTGTTAATTCAATCTATGTTTGTTAAAGGGTCTTGATAAAAGGACTTGATGTTATATGAAAACATACACAATATAAAAATAACAAGCTGGTTATTAGTCAGTACTGGAGGTACTTTTTTTTAAATCTCTATAGGGTGATTAATGTTTATTTAATTGTGCATGCTATTTTTGTCTTGAATATTACTACACTGGTGTAGCACCTACTGCTCTGCATATCCTTCTGCAGGATCCCAATGTTAGAAATGAGAAGCTAGATGTTATTATTTTTAACAAGGCCCCTGATTATTTCAGTCCAATCTTTCAGACTGGCAGAGAAAAAAAATGGACAAAAAAAACTACTAGGTTGACCTCAGGGGAAAAAATTTAATAATAAAGAAATATTACAAATGAATAATAATACAGTGAATGTTTAGTAGAGATGGCACTTTCTGAGTCTGCATTAGCCTGGTGTTATTTTGCAACCTTACGGCCCACTTGAACAGCATCTGCTCCTGACATATTAGCTTCTTCAAAACATCAGCACTTGACAGGAAGAGGGCTCTCCCATACTTTCCATAACATTCTCAGTCTCTCGCTGTCATACTGTGACAAACACCAGTCCACACCTAAACACACACCCACCCACTGAGCACCTGAACAAACACAGTTACCTCTGAGCGGCAGTGCCGGTGAACCAGGGGGAGTGAAGCTCTCTTCAGGTGACAGGTAGAGGTAGCTGGTGTTCACTCCCTGCTCAAAGTTGAACGGAGACTTGTACTCCTCTACAGGTTCCTCCATGCTGCCCATGAACAGGAAGCTCCCTGGACACTAAGTGATTGCATGTGACCGAGCCTGTTAGGATATCACTGTGCCGATTGTCCCATCTTCTAGCTACAGTTGCAAGTATAAGTGTGTTTTGCGGATTCTGCAATGCTAGCAGGGATCACATGATGTCCTGCCTGAGACAACGACAGCAGCACGTTAATAAGTTACCTCTCCAGAGCGTTCTATTTCCGTCGCGAGCCGACACTCCCAGCTGTAATCTCAGCGGTCCTTGTAGGGATTGTTGACAATCACTTTTTCACTGTTCTCAATGGCTGAAAAAAGCAATCGTCTTCATCTGTTCCTGTGCTGGACTAACTCATACTCGACCCCTCTGTCCATATTATCATCCATGGGAAATGAAGATTCATTTGTCCCCTGGTCACATGACACTGTGGAAAGCCCGCGAAAGGAGGCTGTAATCTGCGGTGGCCTAGATTACAACGTTAATCTATTACAAAGGGCCTCCACAGCGCTTCAGATACACACCGGCTGCACAAACCATTGCAGATTGAAATGGATTCAGCCAAGCGCAAGACATTCAGATGTGATGATACCTTAAGGCCAACACACACTCAGGGGTCTTCAGTACCATTATACTGTAAGATTTTACATCCCTGCTGCATTATATTGCACAATTTACAGGTCCTGTTAAATGGTGGAGGATCATGAATTAATGCATTTTTAAAAAAAAAAATTGCATGTATAGAGGTCAGATGAATCACCAGAGACGATGAACTCTAAATAGTCATCTGAGCAACCATATGGTCTAAAATCTGCATTGCAGTTCATCTACACAAAACAAAACACACACATTTTACTTTAAATCAGCATGAATTAAAATTGTAGCCATTTTTTCCCCCCATTATGACATATTTATTGACATTATGTAGCCCCGCCACTTTTTAGCGCCGCGTTTGTTGTCTTCTGTGTTCCGGTTTTATTTCCACAGTGATCTCACGAATTAATGAATGAACCGCTCGTTTTAAAATCTTACTGGTCTACTGACATTTGTTAAGAGTAAGACGTTTGCTTTAAACATTACAGTGCTCACAATAACTTTTGTTAACTCTACAATACATAAATCCACTTTACCAGCTAAATTATTCTTAGACAGCGATGCCATAGAAATATGCAGAGCTACCGCACAAACAGAAGTTCAAAGACAATATTTTAAAGATGGTGACGTGTTTGTTTCGCTGGAGAATAAGGTCAATACACAAGTGAAATGGTTTTTCGAAAGAGTAAAAAGACAGACAGACTTGGTTTTGTCCTTCAGAAATAGTTTGGAACGTTGGACTGTTGGCTCGTTGTCATTTGCTAATTGCTGTGATAGATCTCAGCATGTTAGCAACAGGTTGGTAGAAAGATTAGTGTCCCGCCCCTCGCACCGGTAAACACGTCAGAGATGTCGTTGTGAGGGGGAGGGGACATTAATGTTTTTTTATTTAAGAATACAAGGGTTTTTTGTTCATTTAAAAAAAAAAAATCATGTGCATGGATAATTCATTTAAAATATCCATGGCAAAGTTCCAACAATAGGAATGATCAATTTTGATTTCATAGTGACTTTAAAAATATAAAAAACAAACATTTAATTTTATAATAATTATTATTATTGTTAAATATTTTTTGTTGTTATTATAATTAATATTTTATATTATTATTTATTAGGGCTGCACAATTATGACAAAAATCATAATTGTCGATTATTCCCTTAAAATTTTAATTGCGATTATTAATTACGATTATCACAATTTACATTGAATTATGTTATATCATTGTTTGAAGCAACCGCATGCCATATTTTTAGATGAAAATAAACAAGCTGAAAACCCTCAAACTGAAAAACCTTTATTGCTTTTCTATAGTATTAAGCCTCAAATAGCATCTATTCATTGGATTGGTTTCTTCTTTAAATAAAAAAAAGTTAAAATATGCATGATATATTAAATACCATGTTTCATATTAAAAGTAAAAATTAAAACAATGGAAAAACCCTTAAGATAACCTGTAGAAAGAAAAAACACATCTTAAGCACACAGAATAACATAAGTGGACTTTGAACGATTAATTGGCGCTTTGAACGATTACATAATTGTGACATCTGTAATTGTAATCGCGATTAGAAATTTGATTAATTGTGCAGCCCTATTATTTGTTATTATTTTTTCATATTTTATATTTAATTATGGATATTCGTTTAAATGATCCCTGTCAGGCACTCCATCATAACAAGTTACATGAAAATGGAAAACGATTCAAAACTTTGCCATACTCTCCAGTATTATCCTTAACAGGAAATGGTCATGCAAAATGTATCGAGTTTATTGAAACATGTACAGTAAATGAACATACTTTCCAGAAGGCCAACTATTCACTAAAAATGTTTTTTTTATTGGTCTGAAGTATTCTAATTTGTTGAGATAGTGAATTGGTGGGTTTTTGTTAAATGTGAGCCAAAATCACCACAATTAAAAGAACCAAATACTTAAACTACTTTAGTCTGTGTGCACTGAATTTATTTAATACACAAATTTCACAATTTCAGTTGAATTACTGAAATAAATGAACTTTTCCACGACATTCTAATTTACTGAGATGCACCTGTAGTTTCAGTATTTGTTAATCTCAAGGTTACAAATATTCAATGTACAAATGTTCATAGCTGTTGTAAAAATTTATTGGCATCGGCCAGAATTTCAAAACTCTTTTGACATGGCTCTGTTTGTTTGAGCAGCTTAACACAGCAACACTGGCTCGACCAATGACATCCACTCTGGGGTGGGACCAAATCTAGTATCAAGTTTAAATCAAAGATGCTATTAAAACAACAGACAAAATCATGAGTCATAATGGTCAACTAAAAAGCGTGCTCAAATCAATGCAATATATTGCCAACAATATATATTGGAATTCCATTTGGTGCCACTAGTGGTGCAGAAACACCAGACATTAGCTCATCCTTACTCATTCCTAATTCATCTCCTCTGGTTTTAAAATACACACATGCTATGTATGACACACCCTCTACAGAGCTTTGTCCCTGAGGAGCTGGAATTACACATCACTGCCTGACTACAGTAGCTGTCTTACGTGGGACGGGTCTGCTGTCTCCAGTAGAGATCAGCGAGAACAGCCAACGATACAAAGAATCAGGTTAAAATGAGAGTCACAGAGACTCTATTCAGCTGTATTCACATGGGCGTACAAGAGCCAAGCAGTGACAAACACACGTGTGCTTGTGTGTGTGTGTGTCAATTAACACTCTGACTACATTCATATCACACGTCTAGAAAGCAGAACCTTGACACCTCCGCACTGCTGCTTGCAGGTTAGTACCCGGATATTTGTCTTTCACCAAAGTCCTTGTTGGCTTCCATCAAGACTAGATTGCACAACAAAAGCATGCAGATGTTCAAATAGAGACTTGAATGCAATCTGCAGCCATCTGCTAAATGTAATTTATGTTCCTTTGCATCCCAAATAATTTTCACACAAAACTAATACAATGAATTTTCATGAACACTTCAATACCTGTTGGCAAGTTCAGACAAAGCCTTTTTTCATGAGCTTTGCATTGTGGGAGGGTTTCACATCATGTGACGAGCTCCCACAGTAAACCTCCATGTTAGGAGGGTCGGTCTATGAAAATGTAAAGCAAACTGTGGAAATAGAACAGAGAGATTCTATAAAGGAAGATGCCCAACTTCCCATTTAAACCAACGGATGAGAAGTATTAAAAGAGGAAATAAGCAATAATCACACATTTGTTTTGACTAAATTCTTTGTTAAACAACATATTTACCAGTTACGTGCTAACTTCTGCCTTTGGCCCACTAACATTCACATGGCCCCACATGGGGCGGCTGTGAGCTTCTCAATGCCAATAATAGGATGGACATGGAATCCCATAACCACCTATAGAGTTGGACAAGCCTTTCAATGACCTTGTGCCTCTTCAACATCAGGAATCCTTGTGAACTGGATCTTGTATGACTTGCATTTAAACTCAGAGCTCAAGAACATAAACACCCCAGTAAAGAAACAAAGAGGACATTTGAAGCACCTAATAAACCACAGCGTCAAATCAATTACTGGGTTATTCCAAGCGCATTGCGTCCCGTGATTGAGACGAAATGAGAATCATGGGACAGAGTGCGACACTAGCGGCCTGGATGGACATATACACAGAAGAATAATGGGCGGGAAATGGAGAAAATCTATCTGCCAACCAGCATAGAGTGGTAGACAAGGCAAGGAAATTCTAGTGGAAGACGTTACTGACATTGTGTGTGAAGGGCATTTATCTTTTATCAACACTGCAAATATACAATCTTAAGGCTGGCTGTTCAAAATGGTCTGTTGGTCACATTGCTGAGAAGAGGCTCATTTTGAAGGGTCACAGCAAGGCCTTAAGTATCTCCCCTCAGTGCAATGTTAGTCCACACTTTTACTCGGCCAAAACTCTCAACTCTATGAAAAATACAATAAATAAGGCACATCTAAAATTACAGCAAACCTGTTCTTCTTCTGTTGTATGATAACTTAATAACTTGCTGATGTAAAAAATCAAAACCATCTTCTAGAAATGGTAAGAAAAGCAGCTCTACTGTTACAATGAAACACTGAGTGAAATATGACCGCAGGGACCTGTGAGACTCACACAGATGCTTCTGGAAGATCTTGCATAATCAGCTAACAGTCTATCACTGAAATGTGTGTTATTACACTAAAGAATATCTTTTTAATATTACAACCACAACAACAAATTTTATAATTAATGTAAATATAATGCATTGGTTCAGTGGTCTTAGAGAGTCAACATTCAGGTTTACTTTTGTTCTGATGTTCTTGCTGCTATTTTCCATACAGTGAAAGTGACTAGGTGCTGTCAAGCTCCAAAAAAGTCACATTTATATGCCAAGTATCATAACCATACTGTAGCATAAAAATTACTTAAGCCTCACATTTTGCCTTGTGTGAGGAACAATCACAAATGTGGGTTTATTTCTGTCTATTTAGTCTTTTTCTACAACAAAGCTATCGTATAAAGGCTTCATGACTTGGTAATATAGAGTACAAGGCATATTGACACTTTTAAGGTGCTTTTTTTATTTATTTCTAAAGATAAACAGTCAACAGCACTAGTCCTTATTATGGAATTTTTTTTGTGTGTTTGACAGAAGAAAGGATGTCAGGTGTGGAACAATGTGAGGGTCAGTAATTGATGACAGAATTTTCATTTGTAGTTGAAGTAGTCCTTTAATTTATTGTAAACTACACTTTTGAGGTCAGTAAGGTTTTTTAATGACTTTGGGAAAAAATACAAAAATATAGTAGTAATATAGTTTTCAATTTAAATCTTTTAACCCTTTTCTACTTAAATATATATTTCAAAATGTAATTTCCTCTGAT